TATTGTACAGCATCATTCACTGAATACGGCAGTAACGAGTACAGGGCATATGGACGATACGTCTCACCAAAAGCGGTGAGAAAGATCTCCAGATGATGACGTTCACGAAAACGAAATTTCTTAAATTACAAGACAAATTAATAAACATGCCAAACAATTTGAGAGCAGACCCAGACCGGGCACTGACTAAAATCCACACCATCCGAACATATTTTCTTGCAATTAAATCGAATTGACTCAAGATATTTGAATCAAATAAAAACGAAATGGTAATTTTACGGAAAATAAAATGGAAAATTTTATTTACGCAATAGAATCCAAATCAGTTGCAATGAAAATTCTGCGCGAAAATATCATCTGGCATTGATTCCATTTTATAGAAGAGACGAAACGATACGAAACGATACGAAACGAATCAAAATGAAACGAAGAAATGAAAAAGAAGAGGAAGAAGAAGAAGAAGAAAAAGTATGTATAATATCTTGAGTGTGTACGTTTTTCCATATAGCATGCACGGCGGCGACGCGAGTGACGGTATTTTTAAAACAGTGATCTCCAATGTGCTGTGGCATGTAAACGCAAACACACTGTTACCCATACTCATGCCAAAGCTTGGCAAGTAGTTCGATCATCGATGATCGCACGCGTGCAAGAGATCTTAGCATTTACACACGAAATCACTCAATTCAAATATCGTTGGCTTTTCCTACACAGATTTAAAACTACTCTCGGACTTGCGCTACATACGAACAGTGGGCATTGAATAGTAGCATTCGATACAAAAAAGTTTCGTTTACACTGAACAGCGTTAACGTTGTGTGCAAACAAAATTTGTGCTGCACACATGGTCATTGAGCTTAGATTTTGATTCAATTTGAATTTGTTCACATAACGCAAAGGAGCCAACAAAGCGATCACGAAACAAATACGAAAATGATTTCGTACTCTCGATAGGCACTGCAACAAATTAAGATAAAAATTAAACCTGAGTTTATCCTTTAATCAAACTTCAAATTTTGATGATACATGGCTTCTGACGTACCATTATCTTATGCAACTCAGGCCATTTTCGTAGGAGAACTAACATATTAAATGCATGCTGCATGTTGAAGACACGTTTTAGGTGCATTTCAATTGACCTCCGAACAAAAACCAATTGAACTCGATGTTTATTTTTCGATTGATTTCGACACGTTATGGAATTATGCCGCGGAAAAATTAGTTTTGAAACATTTTGACCCATGTTTAGATGGCCAAACACACCAACGCATCGTTCCGTTCTCTTCTTCTACAGCTATTTCGTTATTCTACTTCTTCGTCATTTTCTTTTGGGCGACTCTGAATCATGTTCAAAATGTGTGGAATGATCGTGGAATAGATTGAGCGTGTGCCTGTGTGTTAGTGTGAATTTTAATATATTTATTTGGTTTTCGTGGCTTTTGTTTTTGGCCATATAATACGCACATTTCGAAAATGATACTTTTCATGAATACGCAAAAAGCTAAATATGCGCTTAGTGTGTAGGCCATAACTGGGCAGCTAACGGTCTTTTATATTCCGTGTTATTTTCACGAGAATGATCGCCCTTTCAGTTTTTATTTTGTGATCGTTTTGAGGTTTTGAAACAACAATAAAACTAAACGATGAAAGAGCGAGGGAGAGAGAACGACACAGGGAGAGAGAGAGAGAGAGAGAAAAAAGAAAAATTGATGACATCAAAACATCGATTGAATCTCGCACTGCGTTTCAGTGAATGAGACGGAATAAAATCGAGCATCTCGATTGGATTTGAATTAACAACGCCCACATAAACCAGCCAGAGTCGTTGCCGAGGTTTTTTTTTCTTTCATAAAAGCGACGTACTCGCATTTATACCTACAACGTCAGAGTGTGCTTTTTTCATTCGCTACATTTGAATTCTCCATCTATTTATGAATGACTGAATGGCTTATGGCAAAAATGGAATACATTATTAATGCGAATAATGGAATGACATCAGAAGGTGTTTTTGCGCTTTTCTCATTCTATTGATTTCAAAGCAACAGCAATCTTCTTACCGCTACCTTTGTATTTCTTTTTCTCTACTGTCTTGCTTCATTCAAATTTCTATTCAGTGCTCGATTCGAGCATGCGAAGTGAAGATTTTGCGTGTATGGCTGTTTATTGATCGTGTGCTGTCTTGTTTTCGTCATTTTGACGGACTTTTGAAACTCTTTTGTGATTCATACGCAAACATATGGCTCATAAAGTGGAGAGAAAGATAGAGAAAGAGAAAAAAGATACATATGAAACATTTTTGTGTGAAAATGATTTTTGTTTCCATCCCTCTCATCTTTTTCAAAATTGAAATTACGATGATAAAAGTGTAGAAAAATGCTGTGAACATTTTTGTGTCATTTTTTTTTTGCCTGTGAATTGTTATACTACACAAATATAGCAAACGGCTAGAGCGACTATTGCGTTATGTGTACGAACGAATTTGTTTTTCTTCACCTCTCTTCTCAGTGCTCAATTCTCTAGTGTGAATTGCCGAGATTTACGTATTCATGTGATATGAATTTTGATGTATAAAAACCATAAAGATAAATGTACCGAAACATAAATTAATCGGCTTTTGTACGAGCAAACAGTCTCAAATTGCTGTCTCAGTGTCTCGACATGACCACATATTACATTGTGAATTTTACGCTGAGAAATTACGGTAAAGTATATATCAGAAGCGAATAGCTAATAATCAGTATATACTGAACCTGGCCATTCAGCAACCGAATGAGATGTAGATGGATTTTGAGAGAAAAATGAATCAGGAAAATTCGTGTTTAGTCTTACTGAAAGCCGCTATGCGAGGAAAAATAAACTAAAAATAAAGTAACGATCGAAGATTTTTTTTTCCCTCTTCTCTTTTTCATTTACTTTGCATTTGGTGTGTGCGTGTGTATGAGTGTGTGAACGAGTGTGTAGTGTGTAGTGTGAAGCGGCATTCGTGCCGATGCTGATGCCGTTTATGTTGTTGTTATTATTGCCACTGTATTTGTCCTCCATTTGACTATTTTTCCCGTGTATCTTCATAAAATACATCCATATGACACGGAATGTCTCATCTCATCGGGAGGTTTGTTGTTTCAGGAACACATGTGCCTGTAAGGAGAAAACTCTATACTAAGTAAGCAGCAGTACAGAGCCCAAGTTGAAAAACAGAAACACATCCAAATGCAATGTTCAGATCAATTCTCATATATATGGCGCTTGTGTGTATAGATTATATAGAAAATAACGTACATATTCGCATAGGCGCGCATTATTAGGTGACTTTTCAGTCGCATAACAACAAACACATGTGTTTGTGGCCCCGAGCATTTTACACTACATTAAACGAAAATCCAGTCTATCGGCTTGCGTTGCCGTTGTGTTAACATGTGTGCAATTGTAATGTATTTCTCACACCCAATTATTCTTCTAGTCGCAGTCATCTCATTCAAAGGCCGTCATCGTCTGTACGCTACACACCACTACACACCCTCACACACCAACGTACTTTCTATCTTAGCTCGAGCATATTCACACGTACGCACACATCCATTGCCGTCATCTCGAAGCATATTCATTTGGATATTTTATCAATTTTGAATGGATTTTAAACCAAATTAAAAATCGTCTCCTGTTCCATTCGATTCGCCTTTTATTGTTTTGAATGTTATTTTTTTACGAATTTTCATTCTCATGTCTCGTTCGTTTGTTGTTTTTTCTTCTGTTGGTTTCTATATCGCATGGTTCATAGCCGATGTATATTCGGTTAAAGCTGGATGAATTGATGTTGCATGTAAATGTGAATGTTACGCGATGCAACCGAACATTCATGTGTATGGACTGGATTAATACGCGGTGAGCACGTAAAAGCATATGTAAACACAGCCAACACAACTAAATTTAGATGTATGAATAACATAGAATTATAGCTTTGTAAAAAAAGGGACAAGGCTGCAGAGCATAAAACGAAGAAAATTCAACGACAGCGATGGCGACAACACTAATAACAAAATAAATGAAGAATATTTGAGAAAAAAGTGTCAAACAAAAGAAGCAAACGATGCGCGAGAGTAATTTGAATTTCGAACAAAATGTCCGAAAGTCAACAGTACGAAATGATGGCATCAAAAGACAACGGCAAAGAAAATGCCGTGGAAGTACCCACAGAGGCAGAAGAAGAATAAAAAGCGGAGAGGAATGAACGAAGACAGTTTTAACACACATTGATTTGATTGTTGCTGTTTATGGAAGAGTAAACGAAACATTTTCGGACGTTTCATGATCATTTATCAACATCACCGCAACAAACAATGCACAACAACGCGGCACAGGTACTAAGATGACTAGTACTGTATTTCGGTTGACAAACGGAATATTAAACAATTAGTACTTTTGTTTGAGAAAAAAAAAAACAACCAGCAACGGCGCACAACTGTATGTGCGAGACACATTTGTGTTAGCAGATCCATATTTATTGCGAGTGAAGAGAGCCGAAAACAAAGACTCGAAAAAAAGCGTCTTACGTTAATGCAAAACGTCGACTTTAGTAATGACCAGCACCTAGTTCAAGCCAAACAAAAGAGTGGTTTGAAGTCGAAGCGGAAAAAAAAGAAAGTCTCTCTCTTCATCTATGGCTAATGAAGACATGATGAAATGGAGTGAAAGAAATTGTATCAAAATATTCGAGTTGCTCTAAAATTGACACATTGCCGAATAACAGGAAGCAATGGAAGAGAGCAACGCATCGAAAGTGAATAACTGATGCGAGTGTATCAGGAGCAAAAAAAAAGAAAAAGTTAAGAGATGGAAGTAGCGAAGCGAAACCGGAAAAATGATGCCATCGCCGCATTTGCTAGTTCAACAAGCTTACAAGATGTTTTTGTTCAACTTGGATCTTTCTCAATGTGGATGTAACGGAGAAAAATCTTCAAAATGGGAAAAGAAAATCAATGAATTAAAATAGAACAACTAACCTTCGTCTAGTAAACGTTCCACATGATTGAATACTGTTGGAAAAGCAGCAAGCTGCTTTCTGTCCTTAAGTAGTTGAGCCAAATAATCAGCTATACTTTGTGTGGTTTGTAGATTATTGTTATCACAATTCATTTTTGATGATAAATTATTTATATAAATATAAATATAGGGATAATGAAATTGTCTATCCAGTTTCGAAGTTTTGTTTTCTGCTTATCCACTGATTGCACGCAACGCTTTTCGATTGGAGTTCACGTTTTTATCTCGATATTTATACCAATTTTTAATCACCAATCACCGATGACTTCGATTTTGTTTGTTTACTTCAGTTGTTGGATTTGTGTCTATATTTTTACTTTGCTGTTCCCCCAAAAAGGTACTTTTCTCTTTTATTATTTGATTTACAATTGTTCCGTCTGCTTCAATTGAGTTGTTATCTATAAATCGATGTTGACGATTAGATATAGTCACAAGCCAATGATCGGATTCGATTTTTGATTTTCATCAATGCAAAGCGGCTGATTGGATTCGACAGAACGTCCCTATTTATCAATTTGTTTAATATCGCGTTAAATCCAAAAAGGAGTGTAATTTGGGGCGTAGTGTACGATAATACGAAGTAGAGCTGTCAGGCTCAGACTTTTATTTGGTTCATTTGATTCGATTTAGCTTTGAATGAAAATCAAAAACCGAACCATCGATCACACTCATAGCAATCTTATATTCATAGCGATCGCAAAGCATCCTATACGAAACCATAATATTTAGTATGAAATAGTATCAAATCTCACGTCTACGTATAACGCTTATTATTCATAATACGGAGAAACGAATAAAAAAACAACAACAAAGTCCAGTATGAAATGCATTTGCGATGGAATGAAGCAAGATTTGCTCGTGTGTACTATTTTTTAACTAATAAAGTGTATCTTTCGGTACAAGAAATAAGCGAACAAAACGAAAAAAAAAAGAACTTTAAAGACGTTATGAGCATCACAACACTACGCGCACTCCTAAAGTTAAAATAAATGAAATGATTCTTTTCTTTTTCTTTCAACAGATATCTCGATACTAATTCACACAATTCAACTTGTTCGCTTTAGGTCTTCTCTTTACATTTCATGTCTTCTTTGTCTTTTAATCGGCATTTTCTTTCTCTTTCTCTTTATTTTCAGAAGAAAATATCCGTAATGAATTTAATAACTTTTGATTTTTTTTTTCGCGTTCTGTTTTTTCTACGTTAGATTCTCACTATATTGATCACAGTATACATAAACATTTCGCATCTACTTTTTATTCGTTCCAAATAAATTCATTTCAAATCTTCTTGAGACGAAAAAATTTAATTGTATCGATATATTTGTGTCAAACGAAAATGTATTCAATGCACACGAAAATCTGTTCGTATATTTCAAGATTTTGGCCATTTAATTTGCGAATATTTTGCTAGCGATCGATTGATGGATAAATAAACGATAAAAATTGCTCGATTGTCTCACTTTTCAGCCGAATTAATGCTTTGAAATGAATACAAATGAATTAATTACGAAAATATGTTGTGTGATATTATTTCTCTCCGTCGTAATGTTGTTGTAGTTGTTGTTATTTTTATTATTTACTATATGAATTCGAGTCAAAAACTGTACAGAGCAGCAGAGCAACCATACAATCAAAAAGTCAACCAAGAACTAATTTTAAATTTAGTGCAAAGTTTGGAATTCACATCGCACTACGATTGAAAATATATTGCAAGATGGCCGCCCGCGCACATTAACCATATATAGATGATGGTGCGCACGAGTATTAGTGTTTGCTTGCTCATTCATTTTCGTTTCTCACTCTCTCTCTCTGTGTGTTGTGCATTGGTATTCAACGATGCATGAATGTATTGGAATTGATGTATAGTACGTGCTCTCTGTGGCTGTGCGGCTCGCCTCTGTGTCTTTCTTCTTCTCTGTTCATTTTGTTTTCACATTGATTTGTTGGATATAATATAGAGAGTCAGTCTAACGCGCACACCAACCAACAAAACATTGGCTTTTTGATTTTTCATACCACAGCGCGCATGATGATCGCTACATTCTTTCATATAGTAGAGAGAAAGAGAGAGAAAGCAATACGGGGCCGATATTTCGTTATCTGTCGGTGCGTCGCACGAGAGAAGAAAAAAATACATTAGCTGCTACTAATGCTGGTGCCAGTCGACTTCTTCGAAGTGGGTGTGTATTTTAATTATCTGAATACGAATGCGACTTTGTATTGTGCGCTGTAAGCACAGAGCATCACTCATACGAGGGAAAAACATTCACAGTTTTCTCATTCCTCTTTTATATTATTTTTCCTTCTTTCTACTCGCTGAAGCTGGCATTCGGAATTTACGGCACTTTATTAAATCACATGCTACGCTAACCCTTTTGTTCATGTAAACAAACGTATTGAGAATTATGTAAGGAATGGACGTATGCATGAAACGGAATGAAATCGAACCAACAATAAAAAATCATATTTTGATATTGGATATTGGAAGCCTGGTTCAGATGTTTTAATTTATTATTATCAATTTGTGGCTGATAATTTCATAAACAATTATAAAGACTTTTAACATAAGACACATATTGCTCATATGTTTTAAGTAGCTACTTCATTTACGTTTCAAATCGCATGTGAACTCACTTGAATGATGTGAACAGTATTGCCTGATACGAATGACAAGAGAGCGAACTCATCAACTTGACAGATTGAATTAGATTGTGTATACGACTTAGTTATTTTGTGGAAAAAAGCACAAGCAACGCATTACATCCAAAACAAACAACTGTTTCGTTTCGACCAAAGAGTGAATATTCTCTGATCAAAATGGGTAAACGACAGCATCAAAAGGATAAAATGTAAGTAAATAGTATTTATCGTTCGGAAATACAATTTAACGCATTTTTCTATATTATTTTTGCATTAAAGGTACCTCACGTACACAGAGTGGTCCCAATTTTATGGCGGCAAAAAATTGGAATCAAGTGAAGACGAGTACATTAAATTCAAGCGACTGCCATTCGATTGCTGTTCAATAACGATGATTCCATTTGAAACCCCGTACAGTGACTTGGATGGCAATGTTTTTGAATTGGACGCAATAATCGACTTCTTGCAAACGTTCAAAGTCAATCCCATCACCGGCAAGAGCTTTGACTCTAAATCGTTGATTAAATTGAATTTTCATCGTAATGGCGATGGAGAGTATCACTGTCCATCGTTATTTAAACCATTCACAAAAAATTCGCACATTGTGGCCATCGCACAAACCGGTAATGTTTTCTCCTTTGAAGCGGTTGAACAGCTTAATATCAAAACAAAAAATTGGAAAGATTTGGTAGACGACACGCCGTTTACACGCAAGGACATTATCACAATTCAGGATCCAAACAATGTGGAAAAGTTCAATATTTCCACATTTTACCATATTCGAAAGGGATTGCGCGTTGAGACCGAGCAAGAGAAATTGGAGAAGAAGGATCCACAAGGTCGCCTGAAGACTGTATCAGCTGAAACAAAAGATATTCTCAATGAGTTGGAACGGGATTTCAAAAGCATTGATAAACAAGACGATGCGGCTGCTGGAAGTAGCAAACAGATTGCAGATAAATTTAACTCCGCACATTATTCAACAGGAGCGGTTGCAGCCAGTTTTACATCAACAGCCATGCAACCAATTTACAATCATGAAGCGGCCATTCTAGACGACCATATCATTCGATATGAACGAGTCAAAAAGAAGGGATATGTTCGACTTAATACAAATCTTGGACCACTTAACATTGAATTGTATTGTGATACGGTGCCTAGAACATGTGAAAATTTCATGCGACATTGTCAAAATGGTTATTACGACGGTACAATCTTCCATCGGTCTATTAAGAATTTTATGGTAAATATTTCACCTTTTTACTTCAGCTCAATGTCATTTGATCATTTTGTGGTATTTCATTTGAAGATCCAAGGAGGCGATCCAACTAAAACGGGCCGTGGAGGGAAGTCGATATGGGGAGAAAAATTCGAAGATGAAATTCTGCCAAATCTATCTCATACAGGCCGTGGTATATTGTCGATGGCGAATTCAGGACCAAACACAAATGGATCACAGTTGTGAGTGAATATGATGTGAAAATTTATTGAATTTTTCCTAACGTTTATTTCATTTCAATGCAGTTTCATAACATATCGATCATGCCGGCATTTAGATGGAAAACATACGATCTTTGGGAAATTAGTTGGTGGATTGGATACGCTCAACGAAATGGAAAAAATTGAAGTGGACAACAAAGATCGGCCAATAGAAGACATCGTCATTGAAAAAGTAAGAAAATCGATCAATAACTGTTCCAATGTAGTTTCTCTGCTAATTTCCATTCTTTACATTTACAGTGCATCCTTTTTGTCGATCCATTTCAAGAGGCGGATGAAATGCTTGCCAAAGAACGTGCTGATGAATTGGAAAAGCAACAAAAAGCCGTCGCTGACGAAAAGAAGCGAAAAGAACGAAATAAACCATTGACAGTTTTCCGTTCTGGTGTTGGAAAATATTTGAATACAGCAGCGACAGCGTCTAAATCATCAAATCAATCAACAATAAGCACCGAAGAACCATTGTCAAAGAAAAAGAAAACTAAAAATTATGGATTCGGCAATTTTGGTTCATGGTGAATGAATGATTTTAATGGAATTTAACAAAATTAATAAAATAAGCTAAAGCCTTTATTGAATATTTCAAAAAAAACACAGCGAAGTTTCAGTTTCTGAAAAAATCATTCCGCATTCTCATGTTCCTTCCATTTTTTCTTCATTTCATCGAGTATTTTCCGTTTCCGTGTGCTTTCAGAAGTCTTTTTCATCTCTAATTTTTTCATTTGATTTTCTACTGATAATTCGCCATTAATATGTTCATCTAATCGCGTGACCAACAATCTACGGGCTTCTTTTCGATTCGAGGTTGCCATCCGATGTAAATGGCATTTCACAATAAATCCCGTTGGTTTGTGTTTTAAAACAACGCAATTGTTAGTTTTATTTACTGCTTGGCCACCGGGACCACTGCCACGAACCATTTGCTCTTCCAAATCATTTTCATCCAGAACCGGAACGCGAGAATAGTCGATGGTCTTCTTACTGTTAAGGACAACGGAGGTTCGATAAGCACGTTGAACGACGGGTAGAGATGAAATGCTCTTGAGTTGCTTCGGTAATTGATGATGAAACGTATGAATCAAAGTGCGAATCATTTATACGACTCTTTTTCTCTCCAGTAGCGCTTCACCTTTCTGAAAACGGAGATGGTTCAATATGAGCAAATTTTTCATTCACAAAGATTGTATCATGAGTTGAAAAAATACCTTAATGTTAAACTCGATGTCAGCGCTTGATTGCAAGTCTTTGTTCAGTCTGAACTCTTTGCGTATACGTTTTCTAAAGTAAGTCTGATCAGTAAACTTCAATTCTTGGCCGTAACGCAGCAATTTTCGATACAATTGCAAAACTTCCCGAGACGTTGCTGCATTCATGGTAAACAAATCAGCGAAAAATAAAATTGAATCGAAAAAACTTTCATCTACCACATTGACATTTCGTTGTCACATGTGATATATTGTATCGGGCAATAGATTATTCAAACGCTAGATGTCGTTAATAGGTAATATCGATAATATAGAATGGACGAGTGAATTTGATTTCTGCAGTTTTCTTTTAAATTTAACTTTCACCTCACAAATTCTTCTGTGAGAAAAAAAAAACCGTATTTTTTATGTGTATGCTTTTACCGTAAGAAATGGTTTGTAGTGTGTTAAATTTGCAGGGGTTTAAAAATGCTAAAAGCCTCTTTTGTTCTACATCAGTTTCATTTGCATTGTTCAAACGGATGGATTGAGGATTAGCTACGATTCACTGTAAAATGCTGCGTTCATTCACAACAGCTAGCACGTACACACAAAACGTACCAAACGATTAAAACAAATATATCGATCATATACAAAAAATAATAATAACAAAAATTATTAATTGAATGATTTGAATCAATAACAAACTGTACTATGTATTGGCATGGAGAGTAAGAATGTAGCTCAAAATCGTATGTTTAGAAGATTAAACGTGCAAACGGTTTCTACCTCTACGTTTCTGTGCAACTGGAATATCTATTGATAAAAGGTGCTTTAAATGTACGTAAAATGTTTATGTGAACCTTTTTGAGCATACTATGAAATGAAAATCGTTCTACCGTACGGCTTGGATGTTTGAAATCGATACGATTGGAATTCTCTATTCAACAGAAGAATGCTATGGGTACGAGACCCGTTGCGTATGCTACGCATTGTTTTGTTATTATCGTTCGTTTTTCTTTGCATTCAAATGGATTTGGTGATGTCGATCTATGTATGTACTGACAATACAGTTCACTATTCATTCGAATTGTGTTACTAGAGAAATACGCATGTGTGCATGTGTTTTCGTTTAGACGCATATGCAACGGAGCCATGCGTTAGCACTTCTTTTTGGTACCAAATTCGTGTTTCCTATTTCATTTTTCGGCATTACAGGTCAGTTGTATTTGAAACTTTCCTTATACTGATCATGTTTGTTTTCTCCATTCCGATGAATACTGTTCAAATTTTAACAAAATATTTAGAGTGAGATTCATTAGATAAAACATTTCGCCAATTAGTTGACGGTCAATAACTGATTTTCATTAGTTTATTCGAGTGTGATCACAATTAGTTGCAATAGAAAATTATTCGAAACAAAAATGATGGATTCCGGGAAACCGTTCGTCGAAAATACTAGACAGCTTCTAGCTTCAGAAGGTGGTGGTGAATGTGGTAAGCTATTAATCTTTTTCCTAATTCAAAATTGGAAAAAAAACGCGGCTAACTGGGAATAAAATGAAATCCAGCAAATGCTTCAACTCATCCAACAATTGAAGCTAATTACTTCACATGTGTATCAAATGATTTGGTGTTACCGATCAACTTTTGATTGCTCATTTTGTTGACTTAACCTTCTTCAATCTAATCACAAATTCGAACAATGACACACGTTCAAAAGGTCGCGATAATATGAAAAGCAGGTATAAATGTTTCATAATGCTATTTATTCTACCATTTGCATGAATTGGCTTTTTTGTTTGGTGTGTTTTCCTTCGCCGAAGGTAAATCCAAAAAAAATCGTTTTCATTGAAAATAACGGTAAACCAAAACCACCGAACAAGGACACCCAAGATCGTGAGAAATTTTGATAAAATTTAAATAGACAGGAAATAAAATAGAAATATTCCATTCGTGTGTAAATCAGTGCTCAACAAGTGTGTTTGAGGAAAAATACATTTCTGTATTTGAATTCTTCTGACCTTGCATATGGTATATATGTTATTCGGTTTGTTGCAGCTCAGAAAGAATGTTAGACATTTTTGTTATCACATCACGATAACTAGAGTATTATTTGTTGATTTTTGTGGAAGCGGGATTTTTTTATTCGAAGATTGTGCTTCGTTCATACAAACACATTTTCTGTTCCATTTCCATTTTCAAGAACTTTCTTTCATCCTGTTTACATTTCAGTTCTAAAAAATAGTTTCCGCTAGTACAGAAATAATAAAGTCTATGGCGGTAAAACCCAAAGAAAAACATTGGACTACATTTTTTTTTTCACATTTACTAGCCCGGGATTTGTGTATGGGTCCATCAGTATCTGATACATACCATCATTAAAAAATATCTTGTTTACGGTTCGAGAATAAAGTTTTTTGATGCTTAATTGAACCGTTGCCACAAATAAATTCCCTCAGAATATTTCAGTTTCAAAGTGCAACATAAATTTTTTTCATATAGGAGTTGTTGTTGTAAACTAAATATAAAAAAATTTCATGTTTCACTTTTAAACTGAAATATTCTGAGGGAATTTGTTTGTCGCAACGGTTCAATTGTGATGAACTTTCCCACAAATATAGAAATATTAATTTTTGTTTATGTGAAGAAAAAAAATGGATGAATAGTTTTCTTGTAATGAGTGTTTTTTATGAAGCAATTTTCACATAAAATGGTTTTCCATACAAAATGCATGATGCCAAGAAGAAAAAAATGAGTGTATTTTAACATTGTGAATGGTAAACATTCACGCGTTAATTGCGATAATTTAAATCATTGCATAGTAAGCGATCACCTTTTTCCATATGATCCTTTGAAAACCTTCGTCTTTTGGAAATTGTAATTTGTCTTTCACGAAAAACTACAGAAAATGATGAAACCAACCGCATCGTTGACAATAAGCAAAATAAACAATTGTAAATTCACCAAGCATGAACGTTATGGCTTGAAATTTTGAAATGTGTGGAATGAGAGCGCTTTCTTTATCTGCCCTATCTCAAATATATCATTTACTATTAGTAAATATAGAAAACATTTTCAAAAAGTTATTCAACTTGAAATCTCATATGATAATTCAGTATTTTTCCTGGCTGCAATTGTTTCTCTGATTTCTATGTAGGCACTGAAAGCGAAACAAAAACAGGTTCAGATTTTCGCCGTGGAAAATGCAAATGGTTCAACGTGTCAAAGGGGTGGGGATTTATTACGCCGGACGATGGCTCACAAGATGTTTTCGTACACCAGGTGAAATGTTACTGTATTTTTTTTCCTTCTCGACCCTCACCCTTATCGAATGGAATGAATACAGAACACAAATAAAAGAAATTTAATTGGACTTAAGTTTAAAAAAAAATGTTATGCCTATGAACATGTGTTTAGCGTTCTTCTGAAGAAAATCTATTCACAGATAATCAATTGATGTTTTCATGAATGCTATTGTTAATGTTCATATTCATCCACGCGTATATTCTTCATAAAATTTATGCGTTTTTTCTGCCCAGTTTTCTTCGACTAAATGAATTTCTGTCATTTTTTTTTTATATGTTAAATCATTAGAGCGTGTTGGGTATGACAGGGTTCAGATCATTAGGTGAAGATGAAGTTGTCGATTTTAAATCAAAAAATACTGCAAAAGGAGTGGAAGCAACATTAGTTACTGGACCCGATAGAACAAATTTGGAGGGTAGTAAAATACGTGGAAGCAGCAAAAAACGGTACAGGAAAACCAGGTAATTTAACATAATTAAATTTACGATGAACGTGAATAAAAAATAGTACAGAGTCGAATATTTTTATCTTTCATTCGAAAAACACATGATCGTTAGATGTTACAACTGTGGACAGTTTGCAAATCATTTAGCAGCTGATTGTACTTTGGAAGCGCAGCCGAAAAAATGTCATTATTGCAAGAGTTCCGAACATTTGATGGCCAATTGCACTCAGTCAAAGGTAAGGAACACAATGATTTTCATTATCAAACTTTAAATTAACGTGTTTAATTCCTTCAATTACAGAATCGTGAACAGCAAAGTCAATCGTCTGGTTCATAAATAGCGTCATGGAAACCAAAAGATCATTACAGCTTTTTTTTTTTTAAATAGTTACTTCAATTTTCCTATAAGACTTCATATATTTATATAACTACTACGTTCGTGTGCATTAATTAATTCAGAGATAAAACATTTCATTCGCAAGGAGCTTATTGCTCAATCGTAATTTAAAATAAACTGGTAATGAAGAAATAAGAGTATTTCTGATTATGGTTATGAAATTGGAATAAAGTACAACACATTTTATTGCAAATTACGTTAGTTAAAAAACTCATGTGAAAAATTAGCATATTAAAGGCATAACGACATTGATTCGAATATTTTCAGCACTTGGACTGGATGATATTTTCTGAAAATCGGATGATTGAGAAATTTTTTTTTGAATTACTGAAGACAAAGAATAAAACAATAACAACAGGACAATTTAATTTTCATTTTTATTTATTTCACTTTTATTGAAAAATAACAATCATTGTATATATTCAAGCAAATCATTTTACTACTATTGATTAAATCCAAAGCTAATTGTTTATGTACGAAAATGTCTCTCTCGTTGGTTCGTTTTTTTTTCTTCGCAAAAACAATGAGCTTGAGTTTTAATCAATATAAATTTGCATTTCGAACTCTCGATCATCCACACATTTATTTTTAATTTCAATAAATAATTCAATAGAAACAAATCGTTCGGGTTATTTACACTGTCGAGTAAATTTCTCTTTGAAACAATTAAATGTTTTTCTTTTCATTTTTTTTTTTCAATTTCGGTATCATTCGTCATAATTCGATTTTTATAAATGAGTAGAAATATCACAGTTTTTGAACAAGTTTTAACCAATGCTTCCCTGTTTGTTATGTCAGGAGATGAAGGGAAAAAAAATCATCCAAAAAGCGATGAAAATTCTTTTCCATACGCACCTACGAAAAAGAATTCAAATGGCTTTTTTTCCTCTGGATATTGCACGCGACAATGTGCGGATGATTAATTTACAGTTGTGTGTCAAACTTAAATGATATTTGTTATTTATGTTAGTATTTTTCTAATTAGGTGTTGATATGTTGTTCGTTTTTGTTGGTGAAATGAACTATTTGAATTAATTTTGAGTTTCGAAATTCGGTGTTCATTTGAACAACGAGCCAGCATGATGCCAAATTCGGAAGAAGTATTCATCTTTCCGCAACAGTTTCGATCGAGCGTATGATGAAATATCGGCATCCATATTGTGGTCTCTTAGCCAAGATGACGTATTCTCCGTACTGTATCCCGTTGGCTCAGTCATATCGGTTTTGCCTTCTACGCCAAGATCTGGCCCTGAAATCAAAAACGAGCAGATTTTAAAAGACATTCTCATATTCAATGAATGAATAATGACAATTACCGGCCATAGGCAAAACTTTATATGGTTCTTCTGATTCGAGTGGATCACTTAGGCCGACCTCATTGCGAGCGAAAATTCGAATCATATATTCGTGGTCTTCATGCAAATCGCGAATCTGGAATCGTTGCATATCAGCTGAAACACGTCCAACTTCGATCCACATTGTTCGTTTTAGATCACGAATTGCGATGTTATAGCCTTCCAATGGTGCACCACCATCAGATTCTGGAATGCCCCATTCAAATATGCTGGTATTGACACCGATGCCGCGCACTTCAAGCGGTGCAGTTGGTGGTGATGGGACAGCTGAATGAAAGCATTTACATTATAATTAGAATTTGTTACATCCGATCAATCAATACATATCAGATAGCAAAGCTTATATGTAAAAAGGAACTTACTTGCATGTGTTTTGAGTACAATGTTCTCCGTTGTTGCTGGAGCGCTGAGGCCAGCTGAGTTCTCAGCAAGTACTCTAAATACATATTCAGACTTTTCTTTCAAATTGTCGATACAATATTGTGTACAATATGTGTCGAGTGTAACCACACGGGTCCATTTGATTGATGACGAGAGCGTTGCCAAACGTTTCTCCACAATATAGCCAGTGAGTTCGGCTCCGCCATTGCTCAATGGCGCTTCCCATTGAATTGTCACACTTTTGCTAGTTACGCTCGTTGCCATGAGATTTTGTGGCGGTGATGGTGGTGCTTAATAATTGGAAATTGATGTATAAATTAGCAAAAGATTTCGGGGAAAAAAAAACAAAAAAAACTCACTTATTTTATCGTCAATGGTAATTGCTTCGTCTGTAACTAATGGTAATCCAACGCCTGCTTCGTTTCGAGCACAAATCTTGAAAATATACTTCGTTTTACGTTTGAGCTTCTTCACATGAATGTACGTTTGATTTCCTTCAGTTGTGCCTACGGATTTCCATTCTTTTTCGGTTGATTCTCTGTATTCAACGACGTAGTCAATGATCTTGCTGCCACCATCCTTCTCTGGCTCTTGCCATGACAGTATCAATGAGTCTTTGGTCATACCAGATACATCGATCGGTGGACGAGGTGCACTGGGAACATCTGAAAAATCGTGTTTAAATTCCATCCGTTACTACCTTTTACTCTGCACTAAAGGCAAATGAATGAAATAAATATGCTAATGTCAAAATAGCTTACCGATCTTCAATTTAATTGTTACCGGTGTGCTCTCAATTGGTTCAGATGTACCGATTGGATTTTCAGCAACGACACGGAAGATGTATTGAGCATTTGGTAAAAGTTTTTGAACACAATATGTCACAATAGCTTTTTCAACTTCGGCAACCTTAATCCACACCATTTTCTCTGGATCGCATTTTTCGATGGCATATTTAGTGATGTCCAGACCGCCATCATCGATTGGTGGCGTCCATGCGATTACAACCGAATCTTTCTTGATATCTGTAATATCGAGTGCAGTTGGACGTTCTGGTTTGTCGATCACTTTGAGTGTTAAATCGACCGTGGCCTCACCAGCATTGTTCTTTACGGTAATGATATATTTGCCGCTGTCTTCACGCACAACATCAGATAATACTAGAGTGATTTCGTTATCTTGGCGCGTGATTTTCACACGTGTATCAGTTGAAATCGACACTGTTTCCTTGCACCAAGTTATTTCTGGTTCTGGATAACCGGAAATTGTTGATTTAATGGTATAAGTCTTGTCTTTGCGAATCTTTTGATTGATGTATTTATCTTCAACGGTAATGGTTGGTTTCTCTTGAATGGTGACACGGCAAGTCGTTTCAGCTGTGCCCAATTCGTTTTCTGCTACACATGTGTACTCGGCCTCCGTTTCAATGGTAGTCTTTTCGATGATATGCTTGGTGACCCGGTTTTCGTATGTAGTTTCTTCCGTTTCAATGATCTTCTTGTTTTTATACCAAGTCACTTTTGGCACTGGCACACCACCAATAACAGAAGAAAGTGTAAGTTTTTCATTCAAACCAATGAATTTGTCAACCAATGGCTCGATAATTGTTGGTTTCTCTTTTTCGAATGGAGCCGTTGTTCGTATGTATTCCGATATTGGAGACGGTGGACTTGATCCAATTTTATTGACAGCCACAACACGGAACGCGTATTCTGAATCGGTTTTAAGTTTATCAACCTTGTACGATGTGTCTGTGATCTGTGTGATTTGTATCCAGTTGACTGAAACATTTTCTTTGTACTCCAAAATGTATTCGATAATTTCATCGTTGCCATCATCTTCTGGTGCCTTCCAGAATAGGGTCAGAGAGTCGCTGGCCACTTCCAATGGTTCGGGTTTCCCAGGCGCAGAAGGTGGTTCTGAAATATTCACATTACATTTTGGAAATTTTATCACACCTTTTTCACTTAATCGTCACAAAAATATAAACAAAATACTTACTCAAAATGATCAAAGTGAGCGATGCTTGTACATCTCCGACTGGGTTCGTAAGTTTTATCGTATATTCGCCAGCATCTTCATCAACAACCTTTTTAATTGTTAATGTTGCCGAATCTTCTCCGAGGGTCTTCTTCTTACGTGGAGTTGATTTGACCACAGTTCCCGATGTGTACCACTCAGCTTCTGGCTTTGGTGCACCAGTGAATGGAATTGTAAATGTGACATCTTCGTTTTCGCGCACTTTATAGACGTTCTCCTTCAATTGAATTGTTGGTGGCAATTGATTTTCTGCAATCAAAACACAATAAAATTAAATACATTTGCAATTTAATTAAAGCAAATCTTTCGAGTAAATAAATATAAACAAAGTGAAGCTTACCCTCAAGTTTAACTTGAGTACTGGACTTGGTGTTTCCAGCAATGCAGGTATAATCACCAATATCATCATCATCGGCATCCTTGATGACCAATCGTCTTACGGTGCCTTCAACGTCAATGCTGTGTTTTGGTCCTTCTTTGATTGGTGTGCCGTTCTTGCACCATGTCACCTCAACATCTGGATGTGACAATGTGACCGTAAGTTCAATGTCTGTATTCTTTGGAGCAAGCGTAACATCTGGCAAGGGCACGGTGAATTTTACGTCCGGTTCTTCGACAAATAGTTTGGCCGTTGATACTTGATTTCCAACTTTGCATGAGTATTTCGCTTCGTCTTCGGGCTCTGTGTCACACACCTTCAACCTCTGGATTTTGCCATCGATTGTCAATTGTATGTGATCATCGAAATGGATTTCTCTCTTGCCCTTGAACCATTTCACCAAAGCGTCACCTTTGGTGAGTTCAATCTCGAAGACAGCGGTTTCACCCTTGGCCACGGTTACGTTTTCTAATTTCTTGATAATTTCCGGTGGTAGTTCAATAACGCTCACTTCTGCGGTACAAGCTTCCTCAGCCAATTGACAAGTGTATTCACCCTCATTAGTTACATTCGCTGATTTAATTATTACCTTGCGTACCTTTCCATCCTTAACGAAAACAATTTTTTCAGGTTCTTCTTTAAGTGGTTCGCCATTCTTAAGCCATACCACATCGGCTGTGTCAGATGTGATTTCAACCTCCAGAATTGCTGTTTCGAGCTCTTTAACTTCGAAATCTTCGATCGTTTTCACAAATTGCGGAACCTTTTCGATGACCTCGACCGTCGATGTTGTTTCATGGTTTTTGATTGTGCACGTGTATGTTCCAGCATCTTTTGGTGTTGTATCCTTGACAATCAACTTGTGCACTTTGTTCTCTTGTACAACAATGCGATGATCCATACCGGTCAGCTCCTTCCCATTGTGATACCACTTCGTTACCGTGTAGTGAGATGTCTCACACTCCAGAGTTAGGGTTTGGCTTTCTTGAATGCTTATTGTTTTCTTCAGTTGTTTAGTGAACGTAACATCGTCAACTTCTACAATGACACGAGCACCGTGCGATACTTTGCCCAACGGACTGGTCGCAATACATTTGTAATCTCCAGAATCCTTCTCTGCATCGGCATTATTGATACGAAGTTCAACATTTTTGCCATCGAACGCTTGCTCGATACGATCCGATGGATGCAATGGAACATTATTGCGAAGCCATGTTATCTCTGGTGTTGGATTTCCACTAACCTTGGCGGGCAAAATGATTCGACTGCCCTGTGGAACGGTTTGTTCTTCGAAACGTTCGATAAAGAATGGTGGTTCTAGATCTGGTACATGCTCTTCAATCGTAAGATTGGCAACTGTTTCAACGGATCCAACTGGATTGATGGCCTTAATGGTGTAAACGCCGGCATCTTCTTTGGTTGGTGAAATGAGTGTGAGAGAGTGGGTGTCTTTGTCTGATTTTACATTGGCAGTAATTGGTTTGCCGTCTTTAAGCCATGTGATTTTTGGCGTTGGATTCCCAACGATTTGTGCATTCAAAACAACACTTTCACCTTCGCGTATTGTTTGACTGTGCAAAGGTTCCAAAATTTGTGGAGACTCTTTGTCTTTTGTACGCACCTTCAGTTGGATCGGCAGCCGCGATTCGCCTTCTCTGTTTCGTGCTACTACCTCATAGACACCCTCTTGAGCCTTTTGCACCTTTGTTATGTGCACCACAGACAAATACATATGCACATCGGATTCAGTGACAACCTTTACGTTTTTCTCTGTGTGAACTTCCTCGCCGTTGAACAGCCAACAAATTTCTGGCTCTGGGACTGCAACTAAGCTACACTTAAGTATCACGTTGGTATTTTCATCCACATACTGTGCACGTGGTTTCTTTGAAAACGTTGGTGGAATACCCTCCAGAATATCAGCCATTGAAGACTCACGAGATAAACTCTTTCGTGATAGTACACCAGCTTCTGAACCGTGATCCGAAAGTGGTCCTTCAACCGTCAATTCAGTAGTGCTTGATGCATAACCAACTGAATTCTTGGCAACACAAGTGAATGTTCCCGAATCTTCAGGGAATACCTCTCGAATCACTAACGTAGCCACATTGTCGTCATCGTAGTACATTTGGAAATCTTGCGATTGCTTGATAATGGCCGTTTGCCGGAACCAAGTAATCTGAGGTCGTGGATTGCCTTCCACTTTGCATTCGAACTGAATTGTGTATCCGTCTGGTGTTGTGATTGGCTGAAGTTTTTCGATAAATTTGGGAGCGAATGTTTTTTCTTCAGGTCCTGGTTCTGTAAGTAGAGAGAACGTATGAGATTATGCATGAACACGTACACACATGGCACAGTTCAGAAATCCAAAAGTTTGCAACTCACTTTCAAATACTGGCAATTTGTCAATCTTCTCATTGAGTTTCGTCTCAACATATTGTTTGTATGAATCGGCATCCATTAGACATTGTGATGGTACCCATCCTTTTTCAGAAGTCAACGGCTTTTTAACAAACCACCAATCAGCATTGTGTTTTTCTAATCATAAATAAAAATAAAAACCATAAAATGTATCAAAATGTATGTTTTTTCTTTCTTGAAATTAGAGATTTGAAAAAAGTGATCAACTTACCGAGAACGAATACTTTTTCACCCTCGACCAAATTGAGAGATTCTGCATTTTCGGCGATGTATGTGCAGTACGAGTACATGATGTCTTCGTCTTTAATGGTGTCATCATGAGCAAACTCTCTGGTGAGGAACAGCGACGCTTCTGTTTATGGATAAATTTCATTAGAGAGAGTTCGAGAAAATTTGATCGATTCATTTAATTAATTAGTTTCAGAAGAGGTTGATTATTTAAAAAAATAAAATGACATCGAAGATTACATTTACAAAAGATGTTAGTACGATTATTTAACTTTTTGCACAGCACGTTTTACCTTCGCTTCATTTGTTTTATTCTAATGTGATATTGCAAAGCTTTGAGATTTATTGATTCGTAAAAAATGCAAAATAAGCTGAAATTAATTGGCAAAATAGTAAGTATTAAATGGAACTGATAGTTGTATACCTTCTAAGTAGCTGGATGGAAGTCTACGGCTTGGTGTTCGTAAAGTGAATGAGTCTTCACCATAAGAAACAGCTTCGGGCTGTTTCTTGCGATGTGTGAAGCCAACAGCATACTCTTCATCAAGATCTTCAACAACATAGGTGGGTTTCGTTTTCTTTGGTTTTAATTTGAATTCAACGTGCTCGGGCAACTCTTCGATATCAGAAAATTCTTCTGGTTCATCAATATCATACATTGTGTCCTCAGCAGCACTGACATCATCGTCGATTTCTTCGATAATTGGCCCCTCTTTGTCGTCATACTTCTCGGTGATTTTAATATGAGCCTCATTATCCTCTTCAGAGAATGTGGGTGGCTTGGTCTTTTTAAGTTTCACTTTGCCCGACATCGATATCTCTTCCTCTGCATACGAATCAAGTTGGATGTTAAACTCTTGTTCAACGTCCTCTTTTGTTTTCGTTGATCGTGGACGGAATGTCACATGTTCGACATCGGTGTATTCGGGAATTTCAACTTGTGACCGTCTGCGTTTCTTCAACTTTTTAATTGTGTATTCGTCGTTGTGTTCTTCCACTGCAGGCTTTGGTTCTTTCTTCTTCTTCACGGTAAACTCGGCTACGACATCTTCAGGCTCGTTATCTGATTCTTCTTTGCGAATAGTTATCTCGCTTTCAATGTCTTCGCCTTTCGTTTTGTCAGTGCGCTTACCAACAGTGAACTCTGCCTCATTATCTGACTCGGGCTTTTCTTCAACTTTAATCGTTTCTGCCGTATCAACTTCGGCGAATTTAACTTCCTTACGTTTCTTGACGGTAATATCTTCATTAACATCCTCAGTTAGTTGTTCAGTTTCTGGTTTCAAAGATACCATTGCCTCTACCTCGTCGGTTTTAGTTGTCTTCATTTTAGGCTTTTTGATCTTAACTTGATCCACCTCTTCTTCTCCTTCCTCCTTCTTGTCTTCTTTTGGTTTCAACGTAGCATCATCGACCTCTTCAATCTCTTCAATTGGCTTTTCAACTACCTGAATGTCTTCAACGATTTTTTCGACAGTAATTGGTTCCGGTTCAATCACAACTTCTTTAGTCACACTCAATTCATCAGCTGCAGTTTCTTTCTTTGATTTCTTCTTTTTAACCTTTAACTTCTCTGAAACATCTTCTGGAGCTGGACCCTCTGCCTTCTTTTCGATGGTAAACACTGTATGATCTTCAGCTTCATCTGCCACCGTTTTCTCGACAGGTTTTTTCAATTTCAGCACAACATCCTCTTGCTCTGTTTCAGCTTGTGGTTGTTGATCGCTTGCTTTTTTCAATGTAACATCTTCAGCCGTTTCCTCGGTTGACGGTTGCTTTGATTTTGATTTCTTTTTCTTTTTGATTGTAACATCTTCACCTTCGTCGATTTGTTCCTTTAGGAGTTCAGGCTCTTCGACTTGTTCAGTTATTTCCACTGGTTGTTCAAGTGGTTCAGGTTGTTCGATGGTTTCGTCTGGGTACTCAACTAAATCAGGTTGATCAATTGATTCGTCTGGTTTCTCAACGATTTGCACGTCTTCAACTACTTCTTCAATTGTTATTGGCTCCGGTTCGATCACAACCTCTTTAGTCACACTCAATTCATCAGCTGTGACTGCCTTCTTTGTTTTCTTCTTTTTGACCTTCAACTTCTCTGAAACATCTTCTGGTGCTGGACCTTCTGCTGGTTTTTCGATCGTAAATACGGCACTTTCTTCGGTATCTTCTTGCTTCGTTTCTTCAATTGGCTGTTTGAATGTGAGAACAACCTCTTCTTGTTCTTCTTCTTCAGGTTGTTGTGGCGTCAAAGTTAATGTCAAATCTTCAGCTACTTCATCAGCACCCTGTGATGTCTTTTTGGGCTTCAAACTGACTTGTGCTTCTACATCTTCAGTTTGTTCTTGTTTCAACGGTATTTTGGCTAATGTGAATTGTGCCTCTTCTTCACTTTCCTCTTGAACTTCACTTGGTTTCTTCTTCAGTGATAGTACAACATCCATGGATGCTTCATCTTCACCCTTCGGCGTTTTGCGCTTCTTTTTCTTCAGCTTGATCTTCGCCGATTCTTCATCCCCTTCAGGAGCTTCATCTACCGGTTTCTTGGGCAATTTCAATTCATGCACCGTTTCATCGTCGGGCTGTTCATCTTCCTTTTTGCCTTTCTTCAATGGTTTCAAAACAACTTCTTCCGTTGGTTCTTCTGGCAAAGGCTTTTGTTTGACTTGGAATTTTACGTCCTCTTCGGGAGTATCTTCCGGTTGCTTTCCTTTACCTACATTCAAGAAAATGGAATTATTTTTCATTGCGTATAGCTCACTACCATTTTTACCTGCGTGAAATAGAATACATAAATGATTGTTTGCTTACCTAATTTTAGGGTCTTTGTGTCAGTTGTTTCGTCCGGTGTTTCTTTCTTTGTTCTTTGATACGGTTCTTTCTTTGTGGACTCGTCAGAACTGCTTTCGTATTTTTCGTACACCTCAAGTTCTGGTCTTTCCAAGCTATCCTTTCGCGTTGACTTATGCTTGAATTTCTTTGCTTTGGTTTTCAGAATCTTTTCAGCCTCTTCGATATTTCGCGATAGCTCACCATGATCTCTGACTGCACCAATGTCTGTGATCTTCATTGTCAATGGTTGTTCAATGTCAACATATGTGATGCGACTCTTGAGACGTGGTTTTTCAGACTTTTCTTCAATTTCCGGTTCGATCTGTTTCGGTTTCTTAGCTTTAAGTTTTACTGGTTTGACCTCTTCGACTGGAACAATCTTCACTTTGGTTGGCTTTTGTTCTTTTCGCTCAATCTTCAATGGCACGAGTTCGCCCTTGTCCGGCAATTTCTTCTGTGGTTTCTCAAATTCTGGCTTTTCGAATTTTTCCAGTTCGGTTTTTTCTATTTCTTGATCCAAAAGCTTTTGAATGTACTCCTCGTCCAAGTCGCTAGTCTTCTTCTTTTTGATTTTCTTCTTCGTTTTCGATACAGATGTTCTACGATCGTCAGTCTTCTCCGATGGCTGCTCATCCATTTTCACCTCTTCTGGTTGCGCTGGTTTCTCGCCCTCGGATGGTTTTTCAATTTCCTCTGTTGTTTCTTCAGATGGAACAGTTTTGACTTCTGGAATTTCTTCAGCTGGTAGCTCGACAATAGGCTGTTCATCTTCTTTTGTTTCAACTTCCTCGATGACACTGCTGATTTCTGGTTGTTTTACCAGCTCGATTTCAGCCTCACTATCCTTATCCTTTGGTCGACTTTTCTTTTTGATGACTTTCTCTGTTGTTGGTTCCTCCACTTGATCATCTTTCTTGATAGGAGCAACAACAGTCACTTCTTCTGTCACTTCCTCCGTGGGTTTCACGTCAATAATTTCTTTCTTCGGCAATTGAATTTGTACGCTTTCTTCGGGTAACTCTTCAACGCTAGGTGCTTCTTCCTCTTCGCTTAGCTTTGGAACGAGTGATTTCTTTTTTGGCATCTTTGGAACTTCTTCGAATTCGGGTTTTTCAAACACTTCCAATTCGGTTTTGGGGATATCTTGGTCGATCAATTTCTGGATGTAATCGTCTTGGTCATCTTTCTTGGGTTTTTTCGCCGATTTCTTCTTCTTTGGTTTTGGTTGTTCGACGCTCTTTGGCTCGATTGGTGCAACTTCTTCGATTACTACTCCTTCCTCTAGCTTATCTACAGATTCTGAAGCTGGTTGTTCTTCTTGTTCGATTGGTTTTTCTTCGACAACTGTCGGTTCTTCGATTGTGATTTCGGTTTCCGGTTCTTTTCCTTCCTCTTCGACCATCTTAACTTCGATAACTTGTTCCTTATCACCTTGCTTCTTTTTGATCTTGCGAGTTGTCACCTTTTGTTCAACAACTTCACCCGTTTCGGTTGGAACTTGTAATGTAACTACTTCCTCAGGCAATTCTTCAATCACAAGCTCAGCAGGTTTGCTCTCTTCTTCGTCTGTTGTTGGCATAAGTGATTTCTTCTTCTTTTGAATATCTTCGAATTCTGGCTTTTCGAACAATTCCAATTCTGTCTTTGGTATTTCCATGTCGATAAGTCTTTGGATGTAGTCATCGTGGTCATCCTTCTTGACCTTTCTTTTCACAATCTTCTTCTTCTTTGGCTCTGGTTTCTCTTCAGCTGGCTTCTCTGGCTCTGGCTTCGGTTCCGTTTCAATTTTAACCTCTTCCTCAGCTATTTCATGAATAAATTCAAGTACATAACATTAAAATTCAAACACTATAAATTTATCCTGAAAAATTTTCGAAGTCCAAACGAAAATATTTTCCATTAAACGGAACGAACTTAAATTCGTGTGGATCCCAAGTATCCACATTTGAAACTTCGAGAAACATCTTTAAAATCGCCCAAAATCAAATTCATAAATTTTACTATGAATTCGATACTAGTTATCCAATTCTACGGAAAGGGTAACACTAGCCACAAATATACGGTGTCAGAAATAAAGTGCTATCGTAATCTTAAACTAATTTACTCATAAATTTGTGAAACTTAAACATCTCAAACGCTTCAATTTGTTTGCTCCCATAGAAAAATTACGAGATTTAGGAAAATTGAAAAATGGTTCATTATAAAAAATATCACAATAAATCAGTCTCTAATTATATCATTGAATTATTTTGGCTCCATACTATCTTATACTTCTAAAATTAATTAAAATAGATTCATGTTCTCTTGAACTGGAAAATGGTAAAAAATTACCTTCGGAATCTAGCGGAAAAATTTTGGAATGGATAAACTTACGTGATAGAAAGGTGCTAGGTTTTTGTGATTTTTTGATCTTCTTAGTTTTCTTTTGTGTGATTTCTTCTTGTTTTTCAGTGTCACTATCTGTGTAATCCTTTACCGGAACTTCTTTTGTTGCTTCTGTTGGTTGTGTTTCTTCTTCTAGTTTATCGCCTTCGCCTATTGGTTTTTCAGATGGTTTCAATGTAACATGTTCTTCACTCTCTTCGGGCAATGGCTTGCGTTTGTATTGTAGATTGATATCATCTTCTGACGGTTGTTCTTTCTCTTTTGGCACTCCCTTCTTTATGTTCACTTGAACTTCTTCGGGCTCTGGCTTATCCTTCTTCTTTCTGATGTGTTTCTTCTTTGGTGGTGATTCTTTATCACTGTCTCTCGGCTCTTTCTCAACTTCGGGCGTCTCGTCTTCGGATAATTCTCTTGGCTCAAAGTCGAGTGGCGGCACCTTACCCACATCAATATCAACACTTGGTTTCCTTTCAGGTTGATCTTTGATTTCGGCTTTGTGTTTCTTCGGCGCTTCGACAAAGTCCTCCTCAGCGAGTTGAGATTTCTTTTGTACCGGCTTCAATTTGACAGTGTCATCTTCATCGGCGTCAGTTGGTCTAGCCTTACCTTTTCCAAGCTTGATTGTCTTTTGCTCGTCTTCAGGCACCTTATCGTCTTTTTTGCCTCGTTGGTATTTTGCCTTGCTTTCGGATTCATCGGAGCTACTTTGGTATTTTTCGTACTTCTCAAGCTCAGGCCGTTCCAGACTGTCTTTTCTGACTTTTGGAATCTTTGTTTTCTTGACTCTCTTCTTTTTGAGAGTTTCCAACGCTTCTTCTACATTTCGGGAAAGCTCACCGTTACCTTTGACTGTATTCAATTCCTTAATTACAAGTTTAGTGGGTTCAGGTGGATAATTGACTTGCACCAATCGGCTCTTCAATTTGAATCCAGACATTTCGGGAAGAGTGTCCTCTTTCTTCTCGATTGGTTTTGGTTTTTTGAATGACATTTGGATGGCTACAGGAGAGTCTTCCACTTTAGTTATCTTCACCTTAGTTGGTTTCTGATCTTTCTTCACGATCGGAATAGGTTCCAGTTGTCCAGGCTTTGGTTTCTTCTTCTTGATGTCATCGAACTCTGGTTTTTCGAACACTTCCAATTCAGTCTTGGGAATCTCCTGTTCAATGAGTTTCTGAATCAGATCGTCTTCTTCATTCTTTTTCACTTTCTTGATGACCGTTTTCTTCTTTGGCTTTGGTTGCTCTTCGCTTGCAGGTTCGGTTGGCTGTACTTCCTCAACAGTAATTTCGGTTTCCGGCTCTTTTCCCTCCTCTTCAACGGTCTTAACTTCGATGACTTGCTCTTGATCGCCTTGCTTCTTCTTGATCTTTCTTGTGGTCACCTTCTGTTCCACGATTTCACCCGATTCAGTTGGCATTTGCACTGTGACTGTTTCTTCAGGCAATTCTTCAACAATAATTTCACTTGGTGTATCCTGTTCTTTTCTTGGCTTCTTTTTCTTAGTATCATCGAACTCAGGTTTTTCGAACACTTCCAGCTCGGTCTTAGGGATGTCTTGATCGATAAGTTTTTGTATATAGTCATCATCGTCCTTCTTAATCTTTTTGATGGTCTTTTTCTTTGGTTTCTCCTCGTTCGTAGGTTGAATTTCTTCGACTGTGACTACAGTTTCTGGCTCTTTACCTTCCTCCTCGACTGTCTTCACTTCGATGACTTGTTCTTGATCGCCTTGCTTCTTTTTGATCTTTCGTGTGGTCACCTTCTGTTCGACGACTTCACCCGTTTCAGTTGGCGCTTGCACCGTGACCGTTTTTTCTGGTAGCTCTTCAATGACGAGTGCGCTTGGTGTCTCTTCTTCTTTGGCTTTTGGCACAACTGACTTCTTTCTTGGTTTTTTCTTGATATCTTCGAATTCTGGTTTTTCGAATTCTTCCAGCTCGGTCTTTGGAATGTCTTGATCAATGAGCTTCTGAATATAGTCATCGTAGTCGTCGCCTTTCTTTACTTTCTTAATGGTTTTCTTCTTCTTTAGTTGTGGTTGCTCTTTGCCTATAGGTTCTTCAGCAGTCGGTTCAACTGGTTGAATTTCTTCAACAGTAATTTCGGTCTCTGGCTCCTTGCCTTCCTCCTCAACGGTCTTAACTTCGATAACTTGTTCTTTATCGCCTTGCTTCTTCTTGATCTTTCTTGTGGTCACCTTCTGTTCGACAATTTCACCTGTTTCAGTTGGAACTTGCACTGTCACTGTTTCTTCTGGCAACTGTTCAATAACAAGCTCGATTGGAGTTTCTTCTTCCTCGCTTGTCTTTGGTACAAGTGACTTCTTCTTCTTTGATTTTTTAGGAATTTCATCAAATTCTGGTTTTTCGAATTCTTCCAATTCAGTCTTGGGTATCTCTTGGTCGATAAGCTTTTGAATATAATCATCTTGGTCATCCTTTTTAATCTTTTTGATGGTCTTTTTCTTCTTCGGTTTTTCATCATCTGTAGGTTGAATTTCTTCGATTGCCACAACAGTTTCTGGCTCTTTGCCTTCCTCCTCAACGGTCTTCACTTCGATGACTTGTTCTTTATCGCCTTGCTTCTTCTTGATCTTTCGTGTGATCACTTTCTGTTCGACAACTTCACCCGTTTCGGTTGGAACTTGCACTGTGACCGTTTCTTCTGGTAGCTCTTCAACAACGAGCTCGGTAGGAGCTTCCTTCTCGCTTGTCTTTGGTACAAGTGACTTCTTTTTCTTTGGTTTCTTTTTTGGTTCTTCGAATTCTACTTTCTCGAATTCCTCCAGCTCGGCCTTGGGAATATCTTGGTCAATGAGCTTCTGAATGTAGTCATCGTAGTCGTCGTCTTTCTTCACTTTCCTTATGGTTTTCTTCTTCTTTGGCTTTGGTTGCTCTTCGCTTGGATGTTCTTCGGAAATCGGTTCAACAGGTTGCATTTCTTCAACAGTAATTTCGGTTTCCGGTTCTTTTCCCTCTTCTTCAATGGTCTTAACTTCTATGACTTGCTCTTTGTCGCCTTGCTTCTTCTTGATCTTTCGTGTGGTCACCTTTTGTTCAACGACTTCACCCGTTTCAGTTGGAACTTGCACTGTGACAGTTTTTTCTGGCAACTCTTCAACAACAAGCTCAGCGGGAGTTTCTTCTTCCACGCTCGTCTTTGGCACAAGTGACTCCTTTTTGGGTTTCTTTACAACTTCCGATGTTTTAGGTAACTCCTCTTTTACAAGTTCGCTTGTTGTCTCTTCCTCCTTAGTTTTTGGCACAGCTGACTTCTTCCTTGGTTTTTTCTTAATTTCTTCGAATTCTGGTTTTTCAAATTCTTCTAGTTTGGTTCTTGGTATCTCCTGTTCGATGAGTTTCTGAATATAATCGTCTTGCTCGTCTTTCTTAACTTTCTTTATGGTTTTCTTCTTCTTTAGTTTTGGTTGCTCTTCGCCTGCAGGTTCTTCGGAAATCGGTTCAATAGGTTGAATTTCTTCGATTGCCACAACAGTTTCTGGCTCTTTGCCTTCCTCCTCAACGGTCTTAACTTCGATGACTTGCTCTTTGTCACCTTGCTTTTTCTTGATCTTTCGTATGGTCACCTTTTGTTCAACGACTTCACCCGTTTCAGTTGGAACTTGCACCGTAACTGTTTGTTCAGGCAGTTCTTCAACGATTATTTCGGTCGGAACTTCCTCTTCCTCACTTGTTTTTGGTATGAGTGATGCTTTCTTGGGTTTCTTTTTGATTTCTTCGAATTCTAGTTTCTCGAATTCTTCCAGCTCGGTCTTTGGAATATCCTGGTCGATAAGCTTCTGAATGTAGTCATCGTAGTCATCTTTCTTTACTTTCTTAATGATCTTTTTCTTTTTCTTCTGTTTCGGTTGCTCTTCGCCTCCAGGTTCTTCAGCAGTCGGTTCGACTGGATGAATTTCCTCAACGGTAATTTCTGTCTCTGGCTCTTTTCCTTCCTCTTCAACGGTTTTGACTTCGATAACTTGTTCCTTATCACCTTGCTTCTTTTTGATCTTTCGTGTGGTCACTTTCTGTTCGACGATTTCACCTGTTTCAGTTGGAAATTGCACCGTGACTGTTTCTTCTGGCAATTCTTCAACAACAAGTTCAATTGGTAACTGCTGTTCTTCGCTTGGTTCTTCTGGGCTAGGAGGCTTTTTCTTTGGTTTTTTAATCTTCTTTACGATTTTAGTCTTGCGTTCCAATTCTTCCTTCTTTTCTGTATCACTATCTGTGTAATCCTTTACCGGAACTTCTTTTGTTGCTTCTGTTGGTTGTGTTTCTTCTTCTAGTTTATCGCCTTCCCCTATTGGTTTTTCAGATGGTTTCAATGTAACATGTTCTTCACTCTCTTCGGGCAATGGCTTGCGTTTGTATTGTAGATTGATATCATCTTCTGGCGGTTGTTCTTTCTCTTTTGGCACTCCCTTCTTTATGTTCACTTGAACTTCTTCGGGCTCTGGCTTATCCTTCTTCTTTCTGATGTGTTTCTTCTTTGGTGGTGATTCTTTATCACTGTCTCTCGGCTCTTTCTCAACTTCGGGCGTCTCGTCTTCGGATAATTCTCTTGGCTCAAAGTCGAATGGTGGCACCTTACCCACATCAATATCAACACTTGGTTTCCTTTCAGGTTGATCTTTGATTTCCGCTTTGTGTTTCTTCGGCGCTTCGACAAAGTCCTCCTCAGCGAGTTGAGATTTCTTTTGTACCGGCTTCAATTTGACAGTGTCATCTTCATCGGCGTCAGTTGGTCTAGCCTTACCTTTTCCAAGCTTGATTGTCTTTTGCTCGTCTTCAGGCACCTTATCGTCTTTTTCGCCTCGTTGGTATTTTGCCTTGCTTTCGGTTTCATCGGAGCTACTTTGGTATTTTTCGTACTTCTCAAGCTCAGGCCGTTCCAGACTGTCTTTTCTGACTTTTGGAATCTTTGTTTTCTTGACTCTCTTCTTTTTGAGAGTTTCCAACGCTTCTTCTACATTTCGGGAAAGCTCACCGTTACCTTTGACTGTATTCAATTCCTTAATTACAAGTTTAGTGGGTTCAGGTGGATAATTGACTTGCACCAATCGGCTCTTCAATTTGAATCCAGACATTTCAGGAAGAGTGTCTTCTTTCTTCTCGATTGGTTTTGGTTTTTTGAATGACATTTTGATGGCTACAGGAGAGTCTTCCACTTTAGTTATCTTCACCTTAGTTG